ACATGGTCCCAGGGGAAAGTTAAAGAGATCAACGACATGTAGATCCTTGCCATCATAATGTAGATGAGCGAGAGCTGAGGCCTCCAGGGGGGCATCTATTTTGGCAATCAGATCCCGCAGCTTGCTCGTATCGGAGACGGTCGCATCCTGTGTCGACTCATCGTAAGAATAGGGCACTCCCGCTCTTCTTCGAACCACCAGTGGGAGTCCACGAGGCCGCAATGTCGAAGGCGGTAACGCTTTTTATATTGATCTGGACGAATCCTTCACCCTTCGTGGGAATAACCGGAGAACCACAATATTTACCAGACGGTTTAGAGTTGAGGATGGCGTTAACGGCGATAGCGATGGTGAAACCGACGAGAATGCGCATTGAGGCGTTGAAATTCATAGACTGTGATACGGATATTATTGTACTTGAGAAGAGTAACACAACAGGCAACATCAATCATTGATGAGCCATCAATGGATACTACAGTACTGCGTATTCATACATATAGTAACTACCAATTCAGAAGCACAGCAGCAATCCAAACTCTGAGATATCAAAAACTTCGTAATGTCGACCTTGTCGGGTTCACAAGCGTTAAGCGTTACACTTATTGCGTAGAGGGGAAATCCAAGGTATTTCGCTGCGTGAAACAACTGTGTGTGCGTGAGGAACAGGCTATGTCGGGCAGCGTTTTTATCACAAACCAGGCGTGAAAGGCCAAAATTTAGCGAACTAGCACAAACTTCTTACAAGAAGAAACAGTTGAACATTGCATGCATTGTATGAATTAGACCGCGATGGATTATCATATTCTGTTTGCATTATACACCATAGCACGATGATGGCGTCATATGATATGACTCGTATCGTTGCGTTAGCATTCCAACCTAGTAGTAATTGTTGAGTGCAGTATCTCCCGCGCCGCAATCTTCTCACCACGTCACCGTTGTCTCACTGTGGTGCAGTAACACCGGTGCTGGGTGCCTGGGAGATGTTTCTCGCCTGTTCATCTCCCTAGGGGGGCCGCCGGATAGGAGAGTCTCCTCTCCGGCTGATCAAATTAGCCTGGTTCGATCCTGATTCACTCAGTACAGTTCTTCTAGCGATTTCACGTGAGATCGTGAATGGGAACCGGGGGGCTATTGCGAAGCCAATGGCTAAAAGCCATGACGAACTACGGCTCTCAGTCTACAATATGTATCCGAGTCGAACTGTCACGTCTTGGTAGTCAGATTAACTGATCTTAACATAGGGAAGACGAGCGATGCTGAGAGCGATCAAGCACTCACGAGCAAGAGGCATTACGTGATAAGCTAAAGGGGATGATTGTCC